TGTATAGCTTCCTGTAAAACTTACCCTGTTGGAATTGTAGTTACCTGTCGAGGTGCGACGTTATTTTGTGTCACAACTAATTGAATTGGAAAACCAAGACCATTATGAAATTCAATAGTTATTCCGGATACTACTACAGCTGCGAACAAATACAAATAATACTGAGCACAAATAAGAGAAATATGAATGATGTTTACCACCAATGATGAACAATATTGCCAGTCGAAAGATGAAACCCATTTGTTGAATTGCAGTAAAAAATAATCTCGATATGTTGCGATTATTCTATGTGCCACTTGCCTATATATATTTATACGGCCATCGTAGAATATGTTTTCTTTATGTCATTTAACACTATAAATAATTGCCCACGGGTGGAAAAATACCCATAGAAAAATGACTGGATTAATGTGTTATAGTGGGACTCAGTTATATATGGTATTTTCCCTTCCCCCTTTTTTTGTTTTGCTATCGTACATAGATGACATGAATGATATAGATATATATCTTTTCTTCTCTTGATACACAGTAGTGGGCAAAAATCTTTCCCATCCTCTCCTATTTTTTTTTACTATAGTAATTTACATGACATCAAATAAACGGTCAGTTATAGGAATGAAATGGATGTTACATTTTAATATAATATCTTGTCGATCACAATTTACTTGAATCATATGCTCAACGTTTTTTGTTACTTATTAATCAACAATTCATCCAAACTAGCTGATAGAGTTCTACATAATTTTTTCTTATTTGTGAATGACTGAACTACTTTGAGCTTTTATTGCTGAAATCAACCTCATATTCTAGATAGTATGTGGTCATTGAAGCAAAGTTCGATCTAGAATGTGTAGTCGATTGCAACGATGATAATAAGCCGAAAGTAGTTAAGCCATTCGCAAATATGAAAAAAATTATATAAAATTCCCTGAACTGGTTTAGTTGCGTTATTGATCAATAGTAACAAAAAACGTTCAGCGTATGATTCAAGTAAATTGTGATCAATCAGATATTATACTAAAATGTAACATTCATTGTTAGGCCTTTAACTGTTTTTTTTATTTGATGTCATGTAAAGTAATATTTAAAAAAAAAGGAGAAAAGTGGGAAAGATTTTCGCTCACTACTCTAGTATAGGTGATTTCCATCTCGTCATGTCTTTTACCAAGTATTCTTAGTTTTTTTTTATAGTTCGTTCATCTACATATGTAGTTGTCGTTTCGAAAATAAAGATTCAGATTCAGTATTGATCTGTTAGATCAATCTTCCATTAACATAATGTGATCTATCTAGTACTGGTCTGATGAAGAATTGAGAGGAAGGGTGTGGATTTTCTTTTTCCAACATCCGCACCCATCACCCACTTCCACATCCACACCCGGCAAATCAACTATGTTCTACACGATGAACAAGTTTAAAATCGATTTCAACGACATTATGCGGGTATGGGTATGTGTGGGTGTCGGAGTAGGTCTTCTATTCACTCACACTCGCACACACTCCACATTCACACCCACACCATACCCATACTCACAGCCACACTCACCCACACCCTGTTATTTTTCATTATTATTAGGGAACATCTACAAACATCTGGCCCACAACAGTAGCCACACTTCACATCAACACCCACCATCACTCCCGCACTACTTCCACATCAACACC